ATTAATAATAAATGCAATTAAAATAATTAAATAAATTCCGAGACTATCCTTTTTAAATTAGGGGTATTACACCGATACAATAACTTTCCGACTATACTCTCTCAGTGTCTACATGATCATCTTTTGCATTTAAACAGCCAATTTCCATTCATGTGAGGGATTGTTAGAATTTTTGAATGAAAATTGTTTGATTAGTCATCAATAGATGTCTTTGACTGAATAGGTGTAATTACTAGTTGGTTATGTGATGAAAATATGCAACTTAAAACGAACAAATATAACCTATTGGAGTGGATATGTCTAGTGGTGAGCAGACGTACACCATGTGAACTATTACAACCTATTGGAGTGGATGTGTCCAGTGATGAAAAGACACATATAAATGGTTGTATCTAGTAATTAAAAGACACATATAAATGGTTGTGTCCAATGATGAAGAAACACACCCAATCCGAAAAGGCACTTTTATTTCTATAAATACCCCATTAGGCTACATTTGCAATTCGTTCAATTCAATTTCTTCTATTTACCTCTCTAGACTTGAACCCAATCCAAGTTGGTTCAAACATAGGTCAAGTGGTCCAAGCCACTTAGACTTTAATCCAATTTCATCGAACTATATTAAGATTGGTCCAAACCAAATATCCAATTTAGTATTTAAATAGTATAGATGCATTTTTTAGTCAAAGCAAGTATTACACGGAGAAGGTTCACTGTATCCACAAGTTTGTAGTGCTGCTACTAGTGGATGTAGACCGTTATATCCTGGGAAACAAGCACCACTGAGTCCATAAGCACCATGCGGGGCGTAAATTGTCTTAAGGATATAGTATCAAATACTAGTCTCGGTTCAGGTTCTTTATTTAGTAATTATTATTTTATTACTTTAATTTGAATGTGTAATTAAATATCGAGTTGCATATTTCATTAATTATTTTAGCGTATTATTAATTATCTCATAGCATATTAGTATAAGGTTAGTTAAATCTTAAAAGTCATATAAATCATGTATATATTTTTCAACATTGACACGTGACATTTAAAATCTATCTACTACTTGTGTTAAATCACATCAACTAATTTAAAGAAAGTTCAAAAACTACACCCTTTTGAGATAAGAAAAATTTACCAAAGCTTGAAAACTGCACCGTTTCGAAATAAGGAAAATTCACCATACTTTAGCAACGTTAAAGTCATTCTCTCTCCTAATCTTTTCCAAAAAATATCGCTCCCTCTCTTTCCTCTAGCTCATTCCCACGACTGAGAGAATATTTAAGCCTCTGTAATGGATTTTGTAGTTTAAATTTCAAAAAAGAGAGGAATTTTGGAATTTACATTTCAGAAAAAAAGAGTGAACCGGAGCTTCTACAATTGGGGGAATATTTAAGCATCTATAATGGATTTTGCAGTTTAAATTTCAAAAAAGAGAGGAATTTTGCAACTTAGATTTCAGAAAAAGAGAGTGAACCATAGCTTCTAGGCACCAAAAATCGTGGGAAAAAACATTCATTTTTGGCGTGAAATATTCCCCTAATCGTGGGAATGAGCAAAAGGAGAGAGAGGGAGTGATCTTTTTTGGAAAAGATGAGGGAGAGAGAAGACGTTAACGTCGCTAAAGTATGGTGAATTTTTCTTATTTTAAAACGGTACAGTTTTTAAACTTTGATAAATTTTTCTTATTTCAAAATGATGCAATTTTCAAATTTTCTTTAAATTAGTTGACGTGGTTTAACACGAGCACTAAATAGATTTTAAATGTCACGTATCAATCTGTAGCGAATTCAACTTTGAATAATTTAGAACATATTTAACTTAGATGATTCAAGTCCAAATTAATATTTATATAACAATAATAAAATTATCCAAAATAATAACCTTTTTTTTTTCCTAAAACGGGTTGGCGGCTCATGACGAGTTGACCCGGTTCATTTTCACCCAAACCATATTTAACCCATTATAAGCGGGTTGAATAGGGATTACAATCAATATTCAACTCGACCATATTTAACTCTTACCAAATCAGACCAAACCCGTCCATTTGCCACCCCTACTTTATGTGTACGCACATTTGAATAATTCAATGCCTGACTACATGCACTAATGCTACACCTTCAAGAGTGGCGAATGTAGGAGAAGTCTTGCACGACTGCAATAGCAAATTGTCAACTTGCTTACTAGCAAGAGTACTGAATTTAATTAGCAAATATAAATTTTGTAACGGATCAACCGTGTAGTTTATTATACCACCTAGGTTTCAGGGCATTTTATCAAATGTTTCTAATTTATTCGTATGTGATTTTTGTTGGAGAATATTTTCGGGTTGGATGAGCGGAGGGTGAAATTGACTGGTCTATGTGATTTTTGTTGGTGAAATAAATTGGTCTGGTTTGCGTGATTTTTGTTGGAGAATATTTTTGGGATGGATGAGTGGAGAGTGAAAAAAACTCGTCTAAAAAATTGATGTCACAAGTGGTGGAGGGTGAACGATTTCTAAATGTCCCTATTTTTTTCGATGAGGCACTTGTGACTCCAATTTATTTATTCCTTTTAATCCTACATGTCAAAAGTCCCGAACCTAAAAAGAAGTGCTGATTTGGTATCATCGAGGGAGGTGGTGCTTCATCATTGGATGGGGGCGTTGCATTATTGAGCACACCTAGAAGCTTTCTTTTAGCTAGCTGTATCGGCACGCAATTGGGAATATAAATTTGCACAGTTTAAAGCAAATGACTAATCATTCATATTTAAATATCATTAGCCAATCCGACAATGCTAGAAGGACCCAGGACTTCACCTAGAGTCTTCGTCCGTGAAGCTTTCCACAATGCGTTTTTTACATGTTTTGGGCGACCCAAGACTTGAGAAGTCTTGGTCGCTCTATCATTGTCGCAAACCAATTAGTCAATGCCTTTTTAGTCATTATTGGCTCAAACAATCAATATTTTTGTTCTATCATTGTCATTTTTAAAATAACCCCTTTTCTAGCTAATTCCATTGAAAAAAAAAAAAAAAAAGACGAGAACCGACAAAATTTTTGTGAGCCAAACAATATAATTATGACTTTGGGGTAAAATAAAGAAATGGTCCCAAATCTTTTTTCGTCTTCCCACTAAGTTATTCAAAATAATTAAAACCATAAAAAGGATTGCAGAAGCAAGATATCGAGAAAAATATAGAAGAAGCAACATACTGAAATACAAAGATATTGTAGAAGGAAGAAAGATATATAAATTAATCCTATTGAGAGGACCTTTTATGAGAATAGTAATAAGTTCTCCCGATTTAACCATTGAATTAAAATAATTTTTTTTTAAATTTGTGAAATATTAAATTAATTATTTAATACATCTTTCAATCAAATGATTAAATAGAAAGAACTCATAACTTTTCTTCCTCTTAGTCGCATTGCTCTATAAATTATGAAAATATGATTACAAACCTTTGAATCACCAAAGGATGTAGCATATTGGTACTTTCTTATATTTAAAAAAGGAAGGATTGAAGGTTCAAGTCCTCATAAAAATAAGTGGGTGTGAGAGTTTTTTGTCAAACTAAAAATAAAATATAAAATAAAACAAAACAAAAAATATTCAATAACCTTTGGAATTTCTTCTTGCCCTCCTTCCTCTATTTTTCCTTATATGCTATGTTTTAATACCCACTCTTTCTCTCTAATTTAACTCTATCCCCTCATTAATTCCATGTTTCTAATTGATCATAGTATTTCTTATGTGGTTGATTTTCATATGGATATTTCTTGTTATGGATTATTGCTGGATGATAGAGTGAGAAAGTAGGAAACTGTTGTAGTCTGGTAGATAGAGAAAGTCATGAAACTAATGTTTCGTTTGGTTGGAAAGATGAAAAAATGGATGGAAGAGATAAGGGAAGAATGGATAAGACATCCCTAGGGATGGGAATGTATCTTCTCTATTTTTTGTTTGATTGAATGAAACGGATAGTAAAAAAGATGAATAAAGTGATATTTTTTTCTTATTTAGTTGGAAGGAAGTAGAGAGTTTTTTTTATTCTTTTTACTGATACACCTTCATTATATAAAATTATAAAATCTAGATATTTATTTCAAAATTTTTGAAAAAGGATTATAAATTTATAGATAGTTGTATCATTTTTCTCTCCTCTCTTCCACCCAAAAGTGGGTGGATAGAAAAACATAATAGGAGGGATGAAACACCCCCTCCTTGTTTCCTTCCTCACTTCCCTTACCTGTAATCAAACACGAAAATGTTTATACATTCTTACTCTCATCCATCCCCGTTCATTCCTTCCCCCCAACCAAACATGACATTAGAGTGTACCATAAAAATAAAAAAAAAAGTGAGGGAAGCGAAAGAGAGAGGGGATAAGCAAGAATTTTTGTGTTGACTAGAATGGTGGAAGATTATTTTTGTTATTTATTTATCAATAAACAAAGTTAGAGCTCGAGAATTTCTGGGAGCTCAAACAACTCCTTATTTTTAACCATTGAAAATTTTAAGATGACATTATATATATAGTATATATTTATATATATATATATATATATGATTATTTTACGAAAAATTATTTATTGTAATCATTGCAACGATAACGTGGTGTAAGGAAAAGTTACGAACACTCCACCAAAGTAAATATATCAACTTTTTGTTTTTATTGTAGGTCCACTTTATTTTGGTAGAGTGCTTGAAGCCGTTCGTTGCACCATATCATTGTTGTAACGGCATGTTCTACCTACTTACTGGTCTCAGAATTTAGGTACACTAATTCAAATATCAACAATTGGAAATAAAAACATAAACTATTTTTTAACTACTAAATGTAAATTACTTTTTTAACTATCAAATAAATTTAGACCTGTTAATACTTTGAGATGTACATATATTTTTCCGCACAAGCACCAAAGAATAAGCAAAAAAAAATTTAATATAAAAAAGCATATATATATATATATATATATATATTCAGCGGGGTCGGGGCTAAGAGACACTTGCCCCAAGCCTAAAATGGCTCCGTCCTTTTATATATATATATATATATATATATAGTTGCCTAGCTAGAAGGCGCTGTATATATAGTTGGCTTGGCTATACCAATCTCAGCAAGAATCTTTGTATTTGTGGGTGATTTGACATTCACTATATCATGAGTAGGATATTCAATTCTAATATATTTATGTATCATATGTGCGTGTGATACGTTATAAATTAGGAGTAGTTAAAAGTGTTCAATCCTGTGAGATTTCTCCTAGAGAGTGCATATATGGATAGAAGACTATATGAGGCGTCGCTGTGTGGCAGCGTACTCGCATTAAACAAATTGATGCAAGAAGATGAACTCATTCTTGATAGAGTCTCAGTCACATGCTTTCATGAGACTCCTTTGCATATAGCAGCCATGCGTGGCCACGTAGGCTTCACACAAGCGCTTCTGATCCGAAAGCCTAAACTCGCAACTGAGTTAGACTCACTCGGACACTCACCTCTCCACTTGGCTTCCATAGAGGGCCACGTTGAAGTAGTACGCGAGTTGGTACACGTAAACATCGATGTTTGTGACTTCCGTGATCTAGATGGGAGGACTCCTCTCCACTTGGCCGCCATAAAAGGTCGAGTTGGAGTTATAGAAGAGTTGACTCGGACTCGACCTAAGTCTGCCCATGAACGACTAGGCCGAGGAGAGACTGTGTTACACTTGTGTGTGAGGTACTACCGTTTGGAGGCTTTGAAATATTTGGTGGAATCCACGGGGGACAAAGACTTGGTGAACTCTATAGACCAAGATGGCAACACCATATTGCATCTAGCTGCAATCTTCAAACAGATGGAGGTATGTATTGAATTTTTTGAAAAACAACGGACTTCCTTAACATTTGAAAAGATTTTTTTTACCATTTATGTTTTTTGAACAAGCCGATTTTTACCTTGTATGCGTTTTTAACTTTTTATAAACTTAATATGCTTTTTACCTTGAAATTTGGCAGGTTAGAAGGAAATAGTTTAAATGAGATATTTTTTATATAAACATTTTAAGTGTTTGGACACTAAAAAAAGAAAATCTTTCCTATAACTTTTTTTCTAAAAAAAAAATAAATAAATAAATAAATTTAAAAAAAAAAGAAAGAAAGAAGAAGAAGAAGAAGAATTTATTTCCGTGAGAAATGTGAACGTATAATTAATCCCTCTTTTTAAGTAGGACAACTCTTACCCACTCATGGTGAGTAGGTGCTCCTAATTGTTGATGTGGTCAAATTATTTATAATTACAAAATCAAGAAAGTAATAGGTATGAAAAACAAATTCTTTATGGTAAATCACATTATTTATTAATTCACTCACCCTCTCTATTTTTCTTAATTATTAAATTAAGTGTTGGAAACTGGGGTATTAAAAATATAAACTTTGGATGAGATTTGGAATAGATTCCGCTAAGAATGTTTTGCGGATTTATAGACGAGCGCGATTCTCTCCACAAAAAGATGAACGTGGTATATTTACTTTCTCAAATCCGTTTCCAGGAGAATGAGAAATTAGCTCCTAAGTGTGGTGTTTTGATAAGCCTAAATGGGTATGCAAAATGTGAAAAGTGATTGTCTTACATAGAAAAAATGTTGAAACCAATTAAAATTTAAATAAGCCAAATTTGGGATTTAGGCTTGGGTTTGGGCCTAATTGTAAAGTCCGATTATTCTTTTTACTAAACAGAATTTTCGATTGGGCTTGGCTTATTTAAATGGGTAGTTGGTTTTTGAATTTAAATCAAAAGTTAGTTTTTTTTTTTTTTTTTCAAAGGGTTGCATCTATTTCCAAATGGTTGCATCTATTTTCCAAAGAGTTGCATCTATTTCTAAAGGGTTGCAACCGGTGTTGAACCAACATGACCCATGGTTGCACCCATACCCAAAAAGGCACTTTGCTACTTATAAATACCCCCCGTTGGGGTCATTTGCTATCACACCAATTCAGAAAATCATTCTTCTCTTTCCGAATTATCTTTTTCCTTCTTTCACCAATTCAGAAAATCATTCTTCTCTTTCCGAATTATCTTTTTCCTTCTTTCTTCTTCTATAATTGTCTATGCGTTCGAGCTCTAGTCTGTGGGTTCGAGCCTTAGTCAGTGAGTTCGAGTCTGACTTCGAGTCGGAGAGTACTACACCGAGCCGGTTCGCCTATTCCTTTGGTTTGCAGTGCTACTACCGAAGGAAGATAAGTCGTTGTATCCTGGGAGATAGACATTACTGAGTCCGTTAGCACCATAGCAAGGCGAATCTGTCTTAAGGATATAGAATCAAATTTTAGCCTCGACTTTTAATCAGGTTCCTTTATTTATAGTTTTTTATTTTATTATATTAAGCTATATTTTATAAGTAATTATATATATAGATTATTATTTTACAATAATTATAAATATATAAACATTATATTTTTACATGATATTTAAATAAATAATACTATAGTATATGGTATACTTAGACCATATTTTGGATAACAATCTTAAGACAGATTCAACTTTACTATAGTATTAATTATTTATTTATTATTGTTGTTGTTATAATTACTGTAATTTGACTCACGGTCTGTATATTTAATATAATCAGACAAATGGCAAGTACAAGTACTACTATGCCTAATGTTCCCGTCAGTCGTGGGGAGAAGCCCGAAAAATTTATTGGGGCTGAGTTTAAAAGGTGGCAATAGAAAATGATATTCTACCTTACAATTCTGAATCTAAGCAAGTACATAACTGAGACTACCCCAGTATTAGAAAAGGGTGAGACTGACATTACAAAGTTAGGAGCTATTGATGCATGGAAGCATGGAGACTTCCTATGCAAGAACTACATCCTCAATGGATTGGACAACACTTTATATAATGTGTACAATCCAATGAATACTGCTAAAGAGCTCTGAGAGTTATTAGACAAGAAGTATAAAACAGAGGATACTGGCTTGAAAAAGTTCATGGTTGGACGATTTCTAGACTTCAAAATGATAGACTCAAAGACAGTCGTGAGCCAAGTACAAGAGCTCCAGCTGATCCTACAATACATGCTGAGAAAATGACTTTGAGTGAATCTTTTCAAGTAGCTTCAATCATTGAGAAGCTGCCACCTACTTGGAAAGATTTCAAAAATTACTTGAAGCATAAGCGCAAGAAAATGGGGCTCGAAGACCTGATTGTCAAGCTGAGAATTGAAGAAGATAACCGTACATCTAAAAAGAAAGCTGCAAATTCTTCAATGGTGTCAAAGGCAAATCTAGTGGAAGCTAGATAGAAAAATAAGAAGAGGAAGCACTCTGGAGAAGGTCTTAGCCAAGGAAACTACAAGAGGTTCATTGGGAAGTGCTTCATATGCGGCAAGTTAGGACACCGAGCTAAAAACTGTCGTAGCCGCAAAGCACAACATAACCCCAAGAAAAAGACCACCGAGGTGCACATTGCTAAGGAAGATAAGTTGAGAGCTGATGTGTCAGAACTAAATCTTCCAGTTGTGGTTTCTGAAAAAAAACCTTTTGAGCAACAATAGAGAATACTCGCCATGTTTGCTCAAAAAAGAATATGTTCACTAGCTATGAAACTATAGATCATCGAGAAAAACTCTACATGGAGAACTCTTCTACTGCAAAAGTTGAAGGATAAGGAAAAATTAAGCTATTAATGACCTCGGGGAAAGAGATCACTCTGAATAATGTGTTACATGTACCAGACATCAGGAAGAACTTGGTCTCTAGATCACTCCTAAGCAAGAATGGGTTCAAGCTAGTCTTTGCATCTGATAAATTTATGCTTACTAAGAATGAGGTGTATGTGGGCAAAGGGTACCCTAGTGATGGATTATTCAAATTCAATGTAATGGCTGTTGTACCCAAAGCTATTAATAATAATAAAGCGAACGCTTCTGCTTATATAATTGCGTCATCTGATGTGTGGCATGGTAGGTTAGGACATATTAATTATGATACGATTCATAGATTAATTAACATAGATTGTATACCAAAATTTAGTATTGATTTAAATAAAAAAAATGTCAAACATGCGTAGAAACAAAATTGACTAAAACCTCATTTCACTCTATAGAGCGAAGTACTGAACCTCTAGCATTAATTCACAATGATATCTGTGACTTTAAATCTATGCCAACCAGAGGTGGGAAAAAGTGTTTTATTACTTTTATTGATGATTGCACAAGATACTGTTATGTATACTTATTAAGAAGCAAAGATGAAGCCTTGGAAATGTTTAAACATTACAAGAATAAGGTTGAGAATCAACTTGGCAAAAAGATAAAGGTGTTTAGAAATGATAGAAGTGGTGAATATGAAGCACCATTCACTGACATTTGCTCAAAATATGGTATTATTCACCAAACTACTGCTCCTCATTCACCTCAACAGAATGGTGTTGCTGAATGCAAAAATTGTACGTTAAAAGAAATGATGAATGCTATGTTGATAAGTTTTGCTTTAATCCAGAATTTGTGGGGGGAAGCTTTGCTTTCTGCTAATTATGTTCTCAACAAAATACCTCAAAAGAAAACAAATGTGACACCTTATGAATTATAGAAAGGTCAAAAACCTTCCTATAAATTCCTAAAAGTGTGGGGGTGTCTAACTAAGGTTGCGGTTCCTACTCCTAAGAAAGTTAAGATATGACCAAAAACCTTTTATAGTATTTTCATAGGCGATACACAGAATAGTAGTGCATATCATTTCCTTATGCATAAATCAGACATTCCTGATATCCATGTCAATACAATTATTGAGTCAAGGAATGCTTATTTCTTTGAAGATATATTTCCATGTAAAAATCCTCTTAAAAGAAATCATGATATTGCTAATAGCAATAAACAAGAGAATATAGACCAAGAGTCTATAGATGGTGAAAATAAGGAAGAACCTAGATGTAGTAAAAGAGTTAGAACGTCTAAATCATTTGGTCCAGATTTTCTAACATATATATTAGAGAATGAACTACAAAGCTATAAGAAAGTTATGTCTTCTCCTAAAGCTCCTTTATGGAAAGAAGCCATAAATAGTGAAATTGAATCCACCATGCAAAATCATACTTAGGAGCTGGTGGATCTTTCTCCTGGTAATAAACATTTAGGGTATAAGTGGATTTTCAAGAGGAAGATGAAGCCTAATGGTTCAATTGATAAATATAAAGCCTGGCGTATTGCTAAGGGATACAGGTAAAACGAAGGCTTGGATTATTTTGATACATATTCACCAGTCACAAGAATAACATCTATTAGATTGTTACTAGCTATTGCAATATTGCAAAATTTAGAAATACACCAAATGGATGTTAAAACTGCCTCTTGAATGGCGAATTAGAGGAGAAAATATATATGGAACAACCTGAAGGTTTTATAGTTCTAGGAAAAGAAAAGAAAGTGTGCAAGCTTGTAAATTCTTATATGGATTTAAACAAACACCTAAACAATGGCATGAAAAATTTGACAAAGTGATGTTGTCAAATGGTTTCAAAATTAATGAGTGTGATAAATGTGTTTATGTGAAAAACACTCAAAATGGATATGTCATTGTGTGCCTATATGTGGATGATATGCTAATAATGGGTAATAATGATATTATAATCAAAACTGCTAAAAAGATGTTGACCAAAAATTTCGATATGAAAGATTTAGGCAAAACTGATGTCATACTAGGAGTTAAGATTTCTAAAATATCAGATGGTCTAGTATTATCTCAATCTCACTATATTGAGAAAATATTAGAAAAGTTTAATAAGGAAGATAGTAGTCTTATAAAGACTCATGTTGATGTAAATCTTCATTTATCGAAAAATACTAATCCTAGCATTTCACAACTTAAGTATTCTTACATTATAGGAAGCTTAATGTATTTGATCAATTGCACACGACCAGACATAGTATACTCACTTAATAAATTGAGTAGATATACAAGTAAACCGGGAAAGAACCATTGAACTGCAATAATCAGGGTTCTAAGGTATTTAAGATATACCATAAGTTATGGATTACATTATTCTAGATATCCAGCAGTACTTGAAGGATACAGTGATGTTAATTGGATATCAGATATGAAGGATTCTAAATCCACAAGTCGCTATATTTTTACTATTGGAGGAGGTGTCATATCTTGGAAATCTTCAAAACAAACTTATATTGCTAGATCCACTATGGAATTTGAATTTATTGCTTTGGATAAAGCTAGTGAAAAAGCTGAGTGGCTTCGTAATTTCTTAGAAGATATTCCAAATTGGCCTAAACCTGTACCCACTATATGTATACATTGTGATAATCAATCAGCAATTGGAAGGGCACAAAGTAATATGTATAACAGTAAGTCTCGACATATACGTCGACGACATAATACCGTTAGACAATTGCTCTTAAGTGGGATAATCTCAATAGATTATATCAGGTCAAAAGATAATTTAACGGATCCGTTTACAAAAGGTTTGACAAGAGAGCAAATGTATAGTTCATCGAATGGGATAGGATTAGAGCCGAAAGCTAACAAGTCATCTTAATGGAAACCCAACTTAGTTGACTGGAGATCCCAAGATCTAGGTTCAAAGAGACAACAAAAATTCTGAATGGCTCACCAGAAGCACTGGGAAGATTTAATCTTCTACCCATTTCTATGACGAGACAGTGCTACCTACAGCGATGAGTAGGATAAGCTATGCTTTTAATGACTCTTATACCTTGAAAATGCAAGTGGGATATAGTAGGATACTACTCTTAATAAGAAGTCACTTATATGAGTGTGAAGTGGGGCCGCTTCTATAAGAACTTCTAAGGCTAAGTTTTCTATAGCGCTCATGAAATACCAAGAGTTGTTCAGAGCCATATGAACACAACCGTGAGAACTGACTTTGTGCGGGAAAGAACTGTGTGTTTGCTATTGTCTTGGTTTACATCAACAGTTGAACAGTTCAAGACATCATGTTCACTAGTTAGCCAGTAAATCCGATAATAATACACTAGGGAAGGTTCAAGGCCAAAAGCTACCTATCCCGATGCAGTAACTTTCCAATAGTACTCTTTCTAGTGTCTGTATCTTCTTCATTTGCATTTTACGCAAATTTCCATTCATGTGGGGGATTGTTGGAAACGGAGGCATTAAAAACATAAATTTTGGATGAGATTTGGAATAGATTCCACTAAGAATTTTTTGCGGATCTCTAAACGAGCGCGTTTTTCTCCGTAAGGAGATGACGTGGTATATTTACTTTCTCAAATGCGTTTTCAGGTTAATGAGAAATTAGCTCCAAAGTGTGGTGTTTTGATAAACCTAAATGGGATGCAAAATGTGGGAAGTGTTTGTCCCACATGAAAAAAATGTTTAAACCAATTGAAATTTAAATAAGCCAAATTTGGGATTTGGGATTTGGGCTTGGGCTTGGGCTTGGGCTTTGGCCTAATTGTAAAGTCCGATTATTCTCTTTACTAAACGGAATTTTGAATTAGGCCTTTATTTTTGGGCTGGACTTATTTAAATGGGTGATTGGTTTTTGAATTTAAATTAAAAGTTAGTTTTTTTTTTTTTTTTTTTCCAACGGGTTGCATCTATTTCCAAAGGGTTGCATCTGTTTTCTAAAGAGTTGCATCTGTTTCTAAAGGGTTGCAACTAGTGCTGAACCAACATGTTCCATGGTTGCACCCAAATCCGAAAAGGCACTTTGCTTCCTATAAATAACCCCCTTTGGGGTCATTTGCTATCACACCAATTCAGAAAACCATTCTTCTCTTTCTGAATTATCTTCTTCCTTCTTTCTTCTTCTATAATGTATGTGGGTTCGAGCTCTAGTCTGTGGATTCGAGCCTTAGTCAGTAAGTTCGAACCCAACTTCGAGTCGGAGAGTACTACACCGAGCCGGTTCGCTATTCCTTTGGGTTGAAGTGCTACTACCGAAGGAAGACAAGTCGTTGTATTGTGGGAGATAGACGCCACTGAATCCGTTAACACCATAACGGGGCGAATCTGTCTTAAGGACTTAGAATCAAATTCTAGCCTCGACTTTTAATTAGGTTCCTTTATTTATAGTTTTTTATTTTATTATATTAAACTATATATTATAAGTAATTATATATATATATATATATATAAACATTATATTTTTACATGATATTTAAATAAATAATACTATAGTATATGGTATACTTAGACCATATTTTGGTCAACATTAAGAGGTAAGGAAAACAGATGTAATATTTTCCTGATTGAAACTAAAGACTTATGCATTTGTGACTGGACCACATCAGCAGTAAGAAGGGAGCACTTACTCACCGGTAAGTATGTAAGTATTGTCCCGTTTTTTATCTTTCTAAAAAAATTGTGTTTATGCATACATTTATATAAGAACGGTACAATAATCTTAACTTTTTAAAAAAATAATAATAAATAAATAAAATAAAAGATGAAAATAGTACAATAATCTCTCTCTTAGATGTCCTACATAATTTATGTTTAAATTCTTATATTGCTTAATTTTTTTTTTTTAAGGGTCTAATATATAAATGCATTATAAATTTATTTATTCCTTATAGCATAAACAAAAATAAAGACAATCTAGGCAAATCATCATATTTTCTTGTAACTTTTTTTTCGATAAATAAAAGTAAATAAACAAAAAACTTGCCATGAAAGAATAATTTTTACTACTTTCTTGAAAATTTTCATGCTGATCAAATACTTGTTAGAAAATTAATTTAATTTCCTTTCTATTGGTCTCAATTTCTAGTATTAACTTCTATTGAACAAAATGGACACTAATGTTGCATTTGGTATACAAGAATGAAATGGAATGGAATGCCCATTCCAACCATTCCAATGTTTGGTATATATGCAATTTAAAGTGGAAATGGCCAGCCATTCCATTGGAATGAAAATCCATTCCACAAATAAACCTTTGAAATGACCATCCCATTCCCAAACAATTTTTTTTAAAAAAAAAATCAACTTCCCAAAAAAACTCTCGTATTCTAAATCAAAAACCACCACCACCATCGCCACCAACACCATTGCCTTCCACCACCACCAACTTCCACTAGAACCATCTTCAACTTTCACCACCGCCACCTCCACTGCCTACCAGCATCTCCAGTATTGCTTTCCCCCACCGCCATCTCCACCATTGCCACCGCCACCTCCACCTTCTACCACCACCATCATCATTTCAACCACCCCTCTATCACCATTATCGCCACCACCGTCACCACCACCACCTACACCATTGTTGCCTTCTACCACTACCACCATTGTCGCTGCAAGAGCCACATCTGTCACCACCTTCCACCACCACCACATTGTCGCCGCCTCCACTATCTTTCACTGCCATCGCCACCACTATTGCCACCTCCACGTCCACCGCCACAGACTTCCACTACCGTTACCACCTCTGCCCTTGCCACCACCACTGCCACCGCCTTCCACCACTGTCACTTCCACTGCCTTCCACGTACCACCACAATTGCCACCGCCTTCAACCATCACTGTTGTTGCCACCAACTTTCACTACTGCCCTCACCTTCCACCACCACTATCGCCACCGCCTTTTATCACCGCATCACCTTTCACCACCACCATACCACGACCACCGACACTACCATCCACCATTAGCACCTACACCACTGCTTCCGCCATCGCCTCAGTCAATAATACCACTGCCTGCCACCACCACCACTATCGCCACTACCTTTCATCACCGCATCACCTTCCACCACCACCATACCACGACCACCGACACTACCATCCACCATTAGCACCTACACCACTACTTCCGCCATCGCCTCAGTCAATACTACCACCGCCTGCCACCGCCACCACTATCGCCATCTACACCACTATCGTTTTCCACATCCACCACCATCATCACCACCATCCACCGCCGCCAATTCTTTTTATAAAATTATAACTAGAAGAATGTTATTTTGTTAATTTCATTTATTTGTCAGTAAGAGATGTATTTTGAAGAATTCAATTTGAAATTAATTACATTCTAAATTTTAATTTTGTCCAACCAAACACTGGAATGATTTCAACCAAACAATAGAATGAGAATGACCATTTCATTCGTATTCTCATTCTATTTCCACTTACATTACATTTCATTACTGCATACCAAATGCAGCATAAGGGATTTATCTTATATACTTTCATATACCTTGTAGAAGCTGGACCCTCTCCATTAACGAAGGATCTAGTGTTCTAAAAATGGTGAAGATCAGCCCACATGAGATGGGTCCAGTTCGAATGAGAACCTTCTCCTTGTGCACTCCGTGCGCGAAAGAATCTAAATTATTACCTTCTTTACCTTTTTATAATACGTACAAACTGGAATGGTTGCACATTCATTTTTAGCCCAACTCTGCTGTTGGCCCATACAAAATCAACCCATGAACGACTGCCTAAGAGAAGGTAGGAAGCCCAGTCCAAACAATAATCTATAGCGGTTGTTTTTCCTTTGTTAATTACCTCATAATTTAGTAAAGCTAACTTTGTACGTGCAGACCATAGAGTACTTGTTTTCTAGAAAGGAAGTGAAGGAAAACGCGAATGTCAAGAATGTGAACGGTTCTACAGCTTTGGATGTTTTAGATCATTGTCCAAGAGATGTAAAGGTGATGGAAATCCGAGAGTTTCTTGTGGAAGCCGGTGTTAAAAGAGGAATGGATCTTATTGAGACAGTGCCACCTAGTAGTAGTAGTTGTATGAATTTTCCCTCACCTCTCAAGAATCCGTGGCAATTTATATCCACGTTTTGGAAGAAGTATTTTCTCTATGAAAATAATTGGTTGGAAGAGTCTCGTGGTAATTTAATGATTGTGGCGACCGTGACAGCGACAATGTCTTTCCAAGCCGGACTCAATCCGCCAGGAAATGTTTGGCAAGAGGATAACGATGGTAGAACTACACCTGGAACGGCTATTATGGACGGCAGTGATTCTGAAAATGGTGAGGATTTCAAGTTGTTTCTAAAATATAACACGGTGTCTTTACTCGCTTCTCTGAGCATCATTCTTCTGATGATAAGTGGAATTCCGCTCAAGAATAAACTTTCAATGTGTCTATTAGTGGCTGCTATGAGTACTTCAGTGGCATTCATGGCACTTACGTATGTACAATCAATAACTTTGATAGCCCCGGAGTCCACCAAAAATGCTGACATCAGCATATATTTGGTATCAGTTTGGACATGGTACGGGCTGTGCGGGATTGTCATACTGATTAACACCATCAACATTGTGGTGTGGTTGGTGGTGTCGGGCAAGTTTCAAATTGGTAAAAGGAGGCCAAAATGTGGGGCGTGTCAAGGAATTTATGAGAATTGGTCGCGCAAGTTTCAAAGGTGGCAAATATGTGGGGCTCGTCAAGGAACTAATGAGACTATTCCAGGTATTGTACAAGTTTATATTACGTTGCATAACTGTTATGCATGCCATTTTGTTTTTGGCCTGCCCTTTTTCGTACATTTTCCCCTATTTATACATTTATTTACCCAAAAAAAAAAAAAAAATCTAATATGATATATACTCAATCGTATGAAGACATAAATAAATTAATAGAGTAACATTTATTGGAATATAAACATTAAGGTGGAAAACTTCCACAATATATCCACAATATCTTGAAGATTTGGGGAAGAAAATACACTCATTCGAGGTAGGACAAAACCTAGATTCTACTTACTTTGGCTGTGTTTGTACTTATATATTTTCGATCTCCTGTGAAATGTCGGCTTTTGATGGTCTCTAGATATTTATTATTATTATTATTGCAAATAAATCTCACATTTAATTAGTCTTATATTTTGAAATTAATAACATGAGTATGCAGAAAATTGATTATGAAGCCATTTTCTCTGGTTAAATTCGTGAGTTTATTAACTATATTCTACTGCTGAATATTTTAACAGAAATTTTGTAAGAAACACCCTTGATTTACAACTTGGATTTGGGTATTTGCTTAAAAAGTCAAGTTTTAATGGTTTGATTAATTTTTCAGGTGTTGCTATCCATAGTGGGCCTAACGTTGATGCATGATTAAGATTATGAGACTTGTGTTATAATGTTACTTCGTGGAGATGTTGTTTAGCTCGTCTTGTATTAGCATTTGAGATGTAAAAACCTGAGATGCATAATAGTTTGCTAAATTGTTGTGTAGAAACTTGTTAGTTTTTGAGAACTCTTGAATGTTTAGTACTTGTATAATAAAGCTGTGTGTGTTGTATGTCATTGGAAGACTTGTTGGAATGTAATGTTTTGTATAATTATCTATAAATCATGTATAAACACACGAATGTAGTCCTATTTAGTCTTTTCTTTTATGTCTTAATGTGCATGTATGTCAAGTATGTGGCTGAGATTTACTTTAGAAATATTTTGTATTTTGGAAAGTCCAATTATTTAGGAGAACATAATAGATCAGTCAAATGGCCTTGTAAATCCGAATCTGAACATTTAAGAAAAACAAGACTATTCTGCTGCGTTTTTTTTTTTTTGTCACATCAAGGCAGAGATAAAGCGCGGACGTGAAGAATCAGAGATATGGCCGACATGAATATTATTGCCGAGTATATTGATATTTATTTATTTTGTTTACAAGACATTTATATGAAATTAAAATTTAAGTTTTGCACTTTACTATTTATTACACTCCTCTATATGCTTTTATCATTGTGTAACCTCCATCATGAGATCGAGCTCCCAAAACCAGTAGACCTTCATGCCGTAACCCCTTCCCCAACCACCTCAAACCCCCATTTCTTCCGAGCCCCGCCCCTCAACACCCTATCACCATTCCACCCAACACCAACTCCAACGATCTCAAGATCGACTCCACTCAACATAACACCTCCATTCTCAAAAACACATCCATATCCAACGATCTCAAGATTGGTGATGAAGGTCAGGCAGTACGATGAAGGTGACTCTATATAATAATTAGATAGTATTCAAAAATCAAATTATAACCCATGCTGACAGCAGCTTTGAGCTCTCTTTCAAAACGAGCGCTTCTGCAACTTCGGTCGAGAATGTAGACACTAAAATTTTGCTTTTGCTTCATCATAGTTGTCAATAAGTTAGACATTCTCGGTCAATTTAATTCTATGAATACGGATCCTATCAATAAACACATGTCAAAATTCTAGAAGTTCAAATTTTGGGAAAAAAAAAAAAAAAATGTGATTAATTAACATTTAAATTTGAATTTATTTCTATAAAAGGAGATAAATTTCTAGTATTTATAGGAATTTGCACAATTATTAGGGAGTTTTCAAAGTGAAGAAGATGAGCATCGACAGTGACGAGGTCTTGATTGCAGATGATGGAGTCTGTGATGGGGGGGTGAAGGAATCAAACACCGGAAAATAGACGGTAGGCGCGTGATGCGTAGGTGAGTGAGCGCGTGCAACGCGTGTATACGCATTAGATCCACACGTGTGGGTGTGTCCAATGCTGATTGAGGCTGAACTTCGTGCGCTTGTCTTCATTTCTGTGTTGGTACAGATTGGTGATGAAGGTCAGGTAGTAAGATGAAGGTTATGCAGTGTGAAGAGCAAAAAATTCATCTGATTTCAGTACCGGCCATCAATCAATTACTCTAATACCGTGTTGAATATTAGACTGAGGATAATGGGAGAGTAAGATATACAATGTTATGTATATTAAGCTTATTTGAATCATGTACAAAAAAAGAAATAAATAAGCTAGTGAATAACGGCTAATGAATTAACAGCTATACAATGACTATAATCACGACTATAATGAAGTTATAACAGCTATTTTTTTATTACATTAAGTTATGTCCGATTGGTTGCAAGACACATCATTAATGCAAACTTGAACTAGTTCACAGCATAGTGTTCATCAATATCCAATTATCTTAATCCACTATTTCCATTCTCCCAAAGGGTGCTATTAATGAACTAAATTAAATTTTTAGGTGCTTTCTTTGGCCTGGCTCCTCCCTAATCTGTAGGCCTAAATCCTCTAGTGGATAAGGTATTTCTACTTTGCAATATTGGATTAAAGCTTCTATTATGAGATATATAGCATTGAAAAATCCTATCAGAAACACCCACATGCAGTCTCTAGGTTGATTCGACTGAAGACCAACTTTTTAGAGGTAGAAGCCTATGCTAGATTAACATAACGCAATCTATTTCATGGAACTAGCGCAATATCAAGCAATCAAAACTTGCTTTGTTGGATTTTGCCCTGATACCACTTTCCAACTTTGTTCAGATACCACTTTGTTAAAAGTAGTGGGTTATACAAACAAATTAATACAACTCTATATAATTTGAAAGAGAAATGGAGAAAGATATATATTATCTCACTTAATCCCAACTTCTTTTTGTAAAATTTCTAGAGTACATGATTATATAACCCTTAAGAACATATATGTATCAATTACATATAAATGCCTATAATTCTCATTTCTCCCACTGACATAATATTTAATAGGCATAACTCCCACTAACATAATATTTACTAGGTTCAACTCTCATGACTCTTAATTTTACATAACTTTCAACATCACATTAACTTCCACTAAAATAATTTATTACCCACTAACATATATGCTAAATTCACACATGCATCATGGATACAAAAATAACTTGAAAACACTAAATACTAAAATCAAGTTTATTTTCCAACATTCTGTTGGACCTATAGTGGAACCCATTATCGAGGATGCAAGGAGTATCAACTTTCGATGACAATTAGAGTTTAAGCTTGACCTTTCTCTCCCTCGTAACTTGCAAATATACCATTGCTTCTTCCCCCATCCTAGCAACACCAAGCTTAATTTACACATCCTACATTATTGGGTGCCCCCAAGGATACCTACTAATTTTTCCTATTTTAGTGTAATTTTTTTCTATTTTACTTATGCTATATTTGGCGGCTCCAAAACCATGCCTTGAATTTGAGATTTTAGAACATTTAATACAAATTTTGAACTAAACTTTCTCTAATTCTAAATCCAAAATAGGTGTTTCCAAACATGGACTATGATCCTCTACTGTAAATGGATCATGTTGTACCCATGTTGTTATGCAAATAATATTGTTTAAGGTATGTTTTTTTTTAAAAGTAATTTAAAAGTGAAACAGAACAACTAACTAGATTAATGATAAATTATTTAAAAAATCAAAAATAAAAATATAAAACATTCACGAACTGGTCATATAATTTTTTATGATACATCCTATTTATATATCCATTAATAGTGACGGCCCAAGTTTTTCAACCCGGTGCGTCAGTGATAACCCAAAAGTTGACCCAATAACGGATCCGAAATGAGGAAGCAAAAGATAAAACCATAGTCCCTTGAGATAAAAACCATCTCTAAGACATCAATGTGACATTCCATGAGGTCACGGAAGTTAAAGTAAGCAAAAGAGGAAACTAGAGTTAAAACAAGCAAAATTCGTCAATAAAGGACAAAATGGTCAATTCACAATTCAAAGGAGAAAATTGACTCTAAACAAGTCAAACAAAGTGGATACAACCTAATTTAATCATTTCACAATATTCCAAGAGGTTCTAAGAACATTGGCCAAGAATCCCGCAAAATGCCCTTTTCCGGTTTAAGTGAAAACTGACACTACCTCACTAAAATATGTATAACTCCCACTGTGATTGGAATCTAAGAATGGCATTGGTACCATTGGAAAGCTGACTCAAAATCCATGAATTTAGGCTCAAGAATCACCCCATTTGTATAAGAAATGAAGGAGAAATGTCCATTCAAAGTCGAAACAACAGTGCTGAAACCAAACTAAAGAAGCTGAAGTATGTAAGCTATTTTGGTCGACCGAAATAGAGTTTCGGTCAACCAAAATGACCAAAAATCTTGCTGAAAACATGTATGTAAGTGCTGATTATTTTGGCAGACCGAAATAAAGTTTCGGTCGACCGAAATAGGCCCTGAATAGTAGAATTGGCTACTAGAATGATGAATTACTATGCGTTAATGATTTCATTTGCCATCAGTCGATCGAAATGGAGTTTCAGTCGACCGAAACACCTCGAAATGCTACTGGAAAACCTGTTATGAGTCCAAGGTGCTAAGGTTCAACCTATACTTTGAATCCCATGACAATTTGGTTCAAAATGAATGTGTAAAATTGATTTTTTTCATTGAAATTCAAATGTGTGGATATGCCAACAACTTTGATATGAAAACTTGAAAGTAAAACAATGGCCCATGGCCTCATACATATCAATTACAAGATTTTCATATATCAAACCTCCAAAATTAGTTCAAATACATTTTGAAGCAAAAGTTTAATACCAAAAGAGTACAAGTTTAAAAGTACACATGCTTGACCCTTGGCCTCTTTACATACATGCCTATAATGTCAAAAGTAGATATTAAAGTATCATTACGCATCAAGAAAGCTACATAAGCTTCTAAAGTATCATACACCCATGGTATACAAAATGTGACATCAAAAGAAAGGCATGTTAAACACTTATATGTCAATACACAAAAATGCTTCAAATAGCTCATAAGCCTCTAAGGATGATGAGCTTCCAAGAACATAATCTTTTTACCTGAAAAACAACCCAAACCACTAGGGTGAGTAATCAAGTTACTCGTTGGAAGAAACATATGCGTATACCCTAAAGTTTCAATATCATTGCAAGATCAATATAGGCGAATACAAGGAAGCATTCCACTGAACGTCTATGTTCAAGTTATTTTAAGGGATCATCTTAAGCTAACTTAAATATTTCTTAGCAACACATATCAATATCAATGTACTTAACAACATCAATTCGCCAACAACAAAAGTCACAAGTTACAATTAAGCATTGGTTGTCAACTTAGAATTTAATGCGAAATCAATTAATGGAATACTTGGACATCACGTCTCAGACTAAATCAAGATCAAAATGGTTATTCTGGGCATTAACCCACTGGGAAAGCCACCCTAATGTGCACTATCTCAATTGGGGAGAACTCATACCTCCCGCTCTAAAGCCAAACTTTAGCCATGTTATTATAACAATGTCCCAAGAGAATCCAAAATCATAATCAAGTTAAATCTCATACACTATAATTAAGGCATATAAACCACATTCCATGCACAACTATTTTGAAACCACACAAACCATGTCTGAGGGTTCCAAGTCTAAAATGACATTCTAAATGACAAGTCATCATCATAATATTATGCACAATACAATACCACCAACTTATCAATTTCAATCAGACCTCAACAATAAGCTTAATACACTAAATATCAACATTTAAAGTAATATGCTTTTATAATAATTACAATTAGTAATCCACAAGAATATAGAATTATTATCACA